TGATGGCATGGCGATCTACCCATATGGAGCTATAAGTCAATGGAATGAAGTTATGTACATAATCATCTATCCTGAAACAGCCTGCGGTTAGCTCCCATAGCAAATTATGCGAACCATATGTCCTCTCTTCCTATGTTTGAACCGCGACAATGCTGATTGTCCAGCAACCCTCCATGGACGTGTTATTAGCCATTGAATATCATATTAGCGTGGATAGGTAACTGCCGCTTCTCTCACTGCCACTTCTCTGACTGCCACTTCTCTGATACTACACAGCCACTGTCTCCTTGTCCCGTGCCACCTGAGATGTGAAGTCCAAAGATCGAACATGATTATTCGGGCGTGAGAATTCACTATGTCTGCATCTCCACATCTCTCTATCTGATATACGATTCCTAGTATCTGGAAGAGAATAACTCGGTTTCTTCAAAGCTTGACCGGTTCGCGGTCCTTTAGGTATGTTTTTCCAAGACTAGCCGAAGTAGGAACTAGACAAGGTAGTTGTGGTCGAGCAGAGTCTGAATCTAGCACTAGTCCCGTAATATAAAGGACGCTTTGTTTGCCAACTCGTAGCTTAGGGAAACGTCGTCTAGTAAAAGGTGGAGGTTACCTACGCTATGTGTATTATACAAAGATGACACTAAACCAATTTTAACAATAGTAATTTAGGCCTAACTGGTAATATCTGAGCCATCTCAATCAAGTTCGTAAGGCCTGGAAGCGTGAGTATTTGGAAATGAAGGTTGGGCCTTGCAAGATATGGGATCTTGCTCAAGATGCTCTTCGATTGTTTTTCGAACCCTAATTAAACATAAGTCATGGAATAAGCTTGGTACTTATGAAAGACTGTAGAAAGAAAAGCCGAAAGAGACCACCCGCCGGGAAATACTCCTTAGGGTTGTCCATGCTATCTCTCCATGACTGAAACACGCAGAAAAAAGAGCTCAACGTTTTCAAGGTAGCACTTATCATTTCTGTACATCAAACAGCTGCTTATCAAACGACTTGGACTGAATATCGACCATAAGTGGGGCTAAGTTGCACTAATGTTGAGGAGGTTGAGGTAATGAATAACTTACCGTCTAAAGGGCACATGTGAGGAGGATGACACTGACTGTCCGTTCGAAAAAGCAGGCACAGTTGCATGAAATAAAGTGGAAGTTCGAAAGAATTTCTAACCTCTCCGGCGCCATGTATAGCTCATTGGTCAAAACTATTCGCAAGAACTTGCGGCGTCCACTCCACCCGCCCCTCAATAATCGTATTGGACATAGATTTGAGTATAACACCGCCTGTGTGTCTTGTTGTTGCCTCCACAGTCGGGTGGCAACCTGATTTGACTCATGAGCGATATCATTAGTCTATTTAAAAAGAGGATAGTTTTACAAATTGACCCGTCGCTCTGTACTATATCACAGATAGGCTGGACAACGATGGCTGCCAGAATATGCTACTGCCCCACAGCTCCAAACCAGCATAAGCCTAAAATGGCACCCATTACAATCGCCACGGCTGGGGGCACATTGAACCATGCACTCCCTGCGTATGTTACCGCCGCAACAACCACCCACCATGGTTCCTTAGCCAGACTCTGTCCGTCGCTTCTGTCAGGGGTCAGGTATCCAATCTCCCACAACCGGTATACAGCTGTAAATACTAGCCCAACTGCAGTAGCATTCACTCCTCTTAGAAAGTCGATCACATACTTCTTCTTCCGCAATACACGCCAGAAGCTTTGGATTGCAACTGCCAGCGTGATTCCCGGAAAGAAGATTCCTAAACCGCCGAGAAATGCACCTAGGATGGTCGGGAAGTGCGAGCGCTGCAGTGCCAGCGCCCCTAAAAAGACAGCGAAGTTGAAGTTAGGACCAGGAAAAGCTTGGATAATGGCAAGACCGATCAAGAAGTCTCTACTGGAGACCCAACCGGGATCGACGACATAGGAGCGTAAAAGGGGAATGACAACAGGACCTCCACCAAAGATAACAGTGCCAGCAAGGTACATATTGGCAAACAGGTCGAGGACCAGTGGGGGTGTGGCGAGCTGGCCTCTGGCAACAAGAATTCCGATGAAGGAAGCTAATCTATTAGCGTTGACTCTCAGAAAATATATTAGGTGGAGTGGGTGCACACCAAAAAAGAGACCTATGACCAAAATTCCGACCCGAATCCGAATAATGTGTTGTGAACAATCTTCAGCGGACTGCGTTGGCCTTGTAGTATCGACTGTACTCTGTGGTAGTCCTTCGATTCTAGGATCCGTCCTTCTCGGTCGCGTCGTCTCACTTCTTTGCACTGTATTCTCTTCCAGGGTTATGGAGTCCATGCGCGTAGGGTCCCCATTTGTCACATCCAGTTCCTGTGAACGACTATGTCTGTTCTTCCAAGCGATCCTTGCCCTTGAAAATTGTTGATATAACCATCCATCCCAGAGGCTCGTGAGGAAACCACCGATGATCATCAACACGGGAAAATACCAGAGTGCATTGTAACAAAGACCAGCACATGCGCCAAAGATCACAAGAATCCGGGATAATTTATCGCGAATAGCTTTTTCGGCCAACTGTACGGCCGCAAGTGCAACGATACCTACTGTGGAGGCGTTGAGGCCGGAAAGTAGGGAATAGACGGGTTTGGGAAGCGTTTCACTGATATTCTGCACACCAAGTGAGAGGGCATACATGCCAATTGCGCCAGGAAGACTGACAGTGTTAGTTGAAGATCAACAGATGGTGGGTTTTGTAGCATAAAGGTTTAGATCACCTCCAAATAAAAAACACAAGCAAGGCAGGAATAAATCCTGCATGTAATAAGGCGAGGCAGAAAATCATCTTCGTGCTACCGGGACCCGGAAGGCCCTGGCAAATAGCAAAGAGTTCCTGATACTGTGAAATTTGTTAGGAGCTCCTATAACATTGAGACCCGCCAGCTTGAGGATATATAAGGAGAATCGTACAGTCTGCTCATCTACCCATTTTTCTTTGCCGCCCTGGCCCTCCACGAACCTGCTATGTATAATCTGGAAGTGTACTGGTGGCCCTCCGAAGGCTGTAAAACCTAGATCCCATGTACGCACAAAGACGTCCAACAAACGCGATGATAGAGAATTTTCCGTTTCTTCATTTTGCCTCAAACCCCTGTGGCTGTCCCATTTGTGATTCAGCCGGGCCAGGGAAGAGAGGCATTGTGAAAGGGGGGAGAGGAGCGGCATACTGCTTTCGGTCGTTCGAACGTTCCTTTAACAGCTGCGCGAATCTTGCGCTCAATTACAGATAGCAAGATAGATAAGGAGGATAAGATCTTCTCAAACGTGAGCATCGATCTGAATACCAAGCCAAGATGTTTAATAAGCATCGACATCACACTAAGTCAAAATAACCAATCAAGATGCGACAATGAGGTACGTGTCATACTACCGTCTGAGGGCATTGGGAAAGCCTATTCAGACGGTGAATGTCATTGAGCGGCTGTGATTGGCCTAGATAATGTCGGACTCCCGTTGTGGTTTAGTCTTCAAGGTTGGTCGGTCTTGGCACTACCTAATTTGGGATTAGAAAGACGAAACTTATAATTTCGAAAATATGTAATGATTCAGAGGATTACTCCTAAACAGAAGGAAAAACAAGAAATGGCCAAGGCTAGCAGTGGGAAATGATATATTTTACGTGGGATTTCCAATAATCTAGATCTCAACTTATCGATTATAATATTATCGCATCATTCAGCGGTGCTGTTGCGACATACTCAGGAGCGAAGTGACATCTGAACGCATACCAGAATATAATTTTAACCAGTGGGCGTTGCTGCCCCACCAGCAGCATCAACAGATAGACAGGTGTATAAAGAGCGCGGGCTTGCGAAATATTTCGCAGTCGTGATATCAGCACATAACTTTTATTTTCTCTAAATTTCTGATGGCTGCACAAGTCCACATTGTCCGCCACGCGGAATCTGTCCACAATGTCACTAAAGACTACACTCAACGTGATCCGAGCCTAACACCGCTCGGCCTTCAACAAGCTGCTCAGCTTATTCACGAATTCCCCTATTCCTCCCGGGTCGCGGTAATCATTACCTCCCCGCTACAACGCGCTGTTGAAACCGTACTCGCTGCATTTCCGCACGTGCTGGATAAACGCTATTACAGTCCTCACTCGGGCCAAGGCATTGAGAATGGCTCATTGCTCATTATAGACCCAGAACTACAAGAACGGAGTGCCTTTCCGTGTGACACCGGTTCCTCTCGCGAAGTTCTGGAGGCGGCCTTCCGTATAGATTTCAGTGATTTGGCGGAGGACTGGCATACAAAGGAGGGTCTGTACTCCCCAGATGACGATCCTGTGAAAGAGCGGGCAAAACGCGTGAGGTCTCGTGTTGCTGAAGTAATGGACAATTTGAACGACATGGAAAAGAGACATGTTGTGATTGTAACTCATGGTGTTTTCATGAAATACTTGGTCGAAGATCCCGAAATCGACCTACCAAAAGCGGGGTGGAAAAGTTACACTGTTGGCAAGAATAGCTCTGGCATTATCCTCCTTCCGGTTTAAAGAGGAAGAGATCGACCTATATATATCCAATAATATGGGAAAACCCTCTTAGAAATCCTTTTGAGAATACTGTTGAGATAGAAGTCTTGGATGCGAAGACAATACATACACGCCTGCGGAGGTGCATTTCAAAATTCTGTGCACCGCAACGAATATATTCGAGATAAAAATTATACTCTCAAACCTTCATAAGGGAGTCTCTTTGACCAGTGGGGCGAATTCAATGCGGCTTTGCTCCTCTGTTCACCTAGTGGCGTCTATTGCCGACGAACTGTCATTACGTCGGCAAAGTTATTTTCCACATGGCACAGGGTGATAAAATTTCTACCACATCATCCGGAGCGAAAGGCGAACCTGCGAGACTGTTACTGTAATCATCAGCGGGGATCTATCCACATCACAGATAGCAGAGGCTGTAATTGAATACCTTTTCCATTTCATGTCGCTTCCTCAGGTTTGTTTGATCGCCTCCACTTCAATCTCTATTCTCATTGCTGGGAACGCTAGTTGAGGCACAGCGATAGCGGTCCATATAGGTCGATGGCCCGGAATACGCTCCTTGAGCTTCTTGACGGTCAGGTCATATGAGGAACCGATATCGACATGGTAGCTGCGGATTGAATAAACGTCTTCCCAGCCGCGAAGACCCGAGGCTTGCAGCACCCTGTCCACATTCTGGAAAGCTAGATCAACTTGGCCGGGAATATCGTCGGCATCCAGAGCGCCGGACTGCTCCCAGCCTCCTTGTCCGGAACATTTGACAATGTTCCCCAAGACAACTGCCTGGGAATAATGGCATAGGTCGCTGTGTTTCTGACCAGCGCCTTTTTCGTTGATATAAGTCAAAGAAGACATTATAATCGCGAGGCGGAATGGGTTTTCACGGAAAACGAGCAGACAGGTCGATGGAATAAAATTTCGTGATTTTTAAAGCTTGCTAGCAACTCATCTTAATGGAAGTACTCTTAAATATTATGGGGAGCACCACCTATGGAGGTGTTTGGAGGTGGTTCTCCACAGTCCCCACTTGCGCCTTCGTTACGTTGCGGCGATGACGAAATCACTAACGAACTTTGTTGAGGGGAGAAAATTGATTATCACCTCCATAGGATAGAGTTCGCTTCTCATCTACCTCCATTGATCTACTCCAATACTAGCACCGGAAGGCTCACGGGTCTTATGTGATATTCAAGATGGATAAGTCGCAACGGCTGAACCCTCCGAAGTTTCCTCAATAGGCAGATAAAATATGGCAATGAGACCGGGGAAGGACGGTTGATATTCGGTGGGCAGCCAAAGGAGTGTCTAGCTGTAACTTAAGACAGAACAAAGGCGCATTATCAGGACTCTAGCTGGTCCACAAAGCTATTGGAGGGGTCTTCTAACAAGGAAAGAAGACAACACGTTGTCAGACTCTCTAGGCACTGGTCTGTTTACAGTTTGCCTAGTGTGCAACGAAACTTCTGGAACTCGTGGTATTTACAAATAGTTATTTTACAGTAGCTCCTGTATCATGCTATTGAATACAGTAGGTGAAATACTTAATCAACAGCCCGAGCTCATTATAAACTAGCGCACGGATGTGGCGCTAAGAAAGAGCGAAAGAGTGTAGATCTTGTGGAAGCTGAACTTGTCAGCTACTGTATCTGTTTGCCTTCGTCGTTATGACGCATTGCCCTAGTCAATCCTGCCGCGAATTTCGACCTTTGTTACTGCAATTGCCACGTCTTTTCAGCGCGCGTCCCCCAGTAATCAACGCGGATCTACGTGCGCGAGAGCGCAAAAAGAAGAGGCTTGACTATGTATGGGCTGTACTGCCACGCGCCATGTTGATTCGCCCCTGGTATTCCTCTTCGAGTCTGGTGGTCTGGTGTATCAGGGCTTAGGGTTCGCCATGCATGTATGATTTAAATAGGGGCATTTGACGACTTGTATTTTTAGATTTCCGTTCGGCTGGAGTAGAAATATGTATCAGGCTGGTATTTCTTTTATTTTATTATAGAACCCGAAACGGACTTCCTAGGCTTCATAAAATATCAAAAATATCTGAGTTTTATGTACTGGACACTAATAAGCCCCATCTCCTTCGTCACTATGGCTGAGAACATAGAACTGACGAAGTACCAATGTTGATAACAGCTTGAATATATCGCTCTAGGGAATAAGAGCGAATAGTCGAGGGCCCTGGGTCCGAAGTATGGCCGGAATGAATGGAAATAAACGGGCAATTAGTTAATGTCTGGAAGAGTGGATTTGGTGGATTCGAAGGCTATCAGCATAAGATTATCTTTCAGTGTCTGTAGTAAGTATAGGCACTAGGCAGTGTGCTGGATCTTACTTGCTCCCTTTTCTCCGTCTCAACAAAGTCACTTTCCCATCATACACAAAAATTGTGTCCCAGCCTGCCAATGAGCACACATCGTAGTCTCTGTAAGCAAAGCTTTTACGTGACAGATGTCCCACACTTGAGACGCTAAGGGCCACTACGTAGGACTGGAAGCCAGTCACTCAGGGACGGCCCCTGTCCGTGCGCTATGGAAATTATAACCAACTAGTTCTGGCCCACGTGCCCCAATCAATGGAATACTTATGTTCCCGCTTAGGTAGTAGCACACATGATGATCTTAAGCAGCAAGCGGGGAAAGAAAACAAGGAGCAAAGTCGCTTTACAGTAGTATGAATGATAAAAATCTGATCCAAACGAAGCAGACAGAAAAGAGGGAAGGAAAGCTTGATAAAATACTCGCTGTAGTCGCTCTTTAGTATGCCTCAATTGGCAATACCTCCGGAATTGCAGCCTTTCCGAAATTTAACAATTAGACGTCGTGTGACAAGATTTAGGTTAAGTGGCTGTTCATTCTGTCCCGGGTATTCTTCGGCTCATACTTGCATCGATGCCAAGCCTGGAGACTTAGCCTAACGCTAGTAAAATCCGCATAATAGTCACATGTAACCGGAATGTCGGCTCGAAAGCCGCATGGATTTTTTTTTGTTTTCATTGAACACCGAATCACTTACAGTATTTATAGTCAAGACAGACCCCTAGAGTCACTCTGTCTTCAACATTTTATCAAATTCCCCATATTGAGTGACAACTCTGAACTATGGAACCATCGCCTTATCAAGAATTCATCTGGGAACAGGTCAAGCCTGGAAGGTGGGAACGGGGTATTGATGAAATCGAACAGTCCTACACCACGTTGGCAAGGCGGTTCCAAGGTACTGGCAAGACCTTTTTTGCTATGACAGCCCATGTCTCTTTCTCCGTTAGGAGAACTCAATCTTTAATCGAAAGCAATGAGCTGCATGTTACGAATGCGTTGCAGAAAGCATGGCTGCGGATCCGATATGACCACCCCACAATTGCGTCATGGGTCGAGTACAATCGCGAGGAAAAGAGATGTAAGAAGGTCTATGAGACCGTTCCGGAATCGGAAAACGTTACTGGATCTGCCTGGCTGAAAGAAACTTTCCGAATCGTTTCCACCAGTCAGTCATGCCAAGATTGGTGCAATTCAGATCCCCCTGTGCCCAAGCTACCAACTTTGTTTCTCATAATACAACCCACTTCATCAACCAACAGCAAATTCTCCGCTGACATTGTTCTGCGGTCACAACATGATATCATCGACGGCATTGGGTCGCTTCATTTGCTTAACAACTTGTTCAAATGTGCACGCACTGCTCTCGACGACACAAACACCTTCCATATACCCAGCTTTGGCGATGAATGGATGAATCTCAGTCCACCGTTTCGAGTAGCAGCTTCCATTCCACCTAGCTTGACGCTGGAACAAGAAACGCAATTTAAACGGATCTTGGAGAAGAATGCCTCGCTTCGGCAAGGCATTCAAATTGCCACAGTTCCTATTCAATCCGAGCAACTGGTTCCCGGCCGCCACCAGAGAGTCTCGTTAACTCTGGACTCCCAACAGACTCAAAAATTGCTCATTGCTTGCAAGAGCATTGGCGCTAGTGTAACGCATGTATATCATGCTGCAATTGCAGTCGTTCTTCGCGACGCGCAAGAAAAATATTATGAGGAACGCAATGTTCGATATATCAGCTACTCATTGATTAATGAACGTGCGCATTGCAAAGCACCATACAATACGTCACTACATGCGGTTTCTGTGTATCACTCTGCCTCTGGTCCGAGTCTTGCCATCGATTTGGCAGTTCCCGCCGCTGCCCTAACCGATCAAACGAAGGACGACAGAGCTTCCGAATTTGCCCAGGTAGTTCAGCAGGTCAAAGACTACTATCTCGGAATACGGAATGATCCAGAACATATCTCTTTGGCTCCGTCATACTTGAACCTTTCCACTCCGCCTTATCCCGACAGCTCACATGTTCCGCCCGTTCCTCTGCCGAACAAGGCACCTTCAGTCTCAATCTCTAGTCTGGGGGTGATCGACAATATCATATCCCCAACACATGGTCTGTTTGAGCTGGATGATCCTTGGGTTACGGGAGAGGAGCTCGGGACAGGATTGGGCCTTTTCCTCGGTACTTTCCGTGGATGCATGAGCTTAAGCGCCGCATACAATGATGCGTGGCACAACGAAACTGAGGTCATGGAATTTTTGAGCAAATGCAATAGCCTTGTGCTTGAGGCTTTTGGGGTGTAGGGTGGGTCTGACAAAATTTGGCGCAAAGTAACAGACTGGGAAAGGTGATTTCAAAAAATGAAGTTCGTGGCAAAAGGGGAGCAAACTTCATATATTTCATCTTACCCAGTTTGGCGCGTATTCTGATCGGCACTTCCTTCCTCTTGTTTACTGTAAGGCATATGCGATCCAATAGGAATCCAATGTGCCTTTGACTTACTGAACGTACAAACATTCGTCCACTAAAAGCTCACGTGTTACTATCAAATTATATTCCAAATTCAGTAGACCAATTGGGCAAATTGGTCAATTTCTTTTTCCCGTGCCACTCAATGGCCGTGAATTCTCGGTCGGGAGAGCCGTGAACCAAGCAGTCATGTTTGGTGCTTGACAAATGTTGAGATTCATGGCTTGCTCAGGCATCTCCAGGCATTAAATGCCCGCTTCGCCAATGCATGAAGCTCATGATCAGCATTCAACCTACCATGTATAGGATAGTTCAGGGGAAATGCTTCACATTAAATAGGATCTCTCCTTCATGGAGATCAGACTTAAACCATCTCGTTGGCCTTGACCTACAAGCGTACTAGCATCATTCATCGTATTCTCCATTCAAAATTTTAACAACAAAGCGGGGTAGATATATAATGAAGGTAGATGGTCGTTCTCTGACTGAGTAGAGACGGTACATGAGAGGTTGCTCCTGGGCTCATAACCTGTTGTAATTCAGAGAATTAATTGCTTGTTATTTCTGAGGGGCTTCAAGTGGATGAATATATACAATATAAGGTCCAAGTTGATTGTAACTCAACCTGGTTCTTCGCATAGATTGTGAAGCACTTAACAACTTGGAAATTACCGAGTCCGAGTCAATCCAGGTCGGACCAATGTAGCAGTGGTAGGACCACGTAACCGTAAAGTACATAAGGCGATTATACGGCGCTTTGCCTAGGAACCGGGCGTACTTTTTAATACAACTACACACGGGCCACAGTTAGTTAGCCCACATACGCCAAGGCTTTCGGATTCTAACCCGACGATCACTACGAGTGGGGCGCCCTAGAAACAGTATCCCACGCTCTGGTGGACTGTCCGAAACTAAAGGAACTACGGAGGAAGTTACAAAGGAAGGTGGAGCCCGCATTCAGTAGCGTCTCAACCTTACTGGGAGACTCGAAGGAAAAATAGGAAGAGGAAAACCTGACAACGCTTCATGAGCCAAGACGGTGGAAACAATATTTCCACAATGGTTTATGAGTGTGGGGTGATGTGAATTGTTAATACTATTTTACACTATTTATCTGTTTCGCCTTGTCGTGGCAAATTGCATTTCCTTCTTTCAGAATATATCCTTCAATTTCTTCAATTTCTTACTGTAGATTCAATTTGTGAACTATTTTGGCTGGGTACATCTAAAGAAAAATACCCCACAAGTCGAAAAATTGATTGCGCAAGAAATTTCCGACAGTTCGGGACCCTGGATGTGATTACACCCCTCCACCCGGCGTTTTCTCGCTTTTCATGTCCTTAAACAAGTTACAAGCTATCAGCGTCCATGATAGACCATGGGAACTGATCAATAATAGATAGGAAATTGGCCGAGGAACTTTTCAGTATGTCAGCGCGTGTCACCTGTTATCTGCTGGGTATAACGTACCTGCATCGGATCATTGAACCGGAGCCCGATATCCAAAGAGCTGATCTTTTTTATGTCGTCCTCCTCCAGGTCAAAGGCGGTCGATGTCAAATTTAAGCCCATCCGCTCGGTGCTGGTGCTTCTCGGGATGACCAAAATGCCGCGTTGGGTCGCCCACCGGAGAAGCACCTGCGACGGCGCTTGATGCACTCGTTCGGCAATTGAAACAATAGCCGGATGCTCCAGGAGCGACAAGACTTTTTCCGGTGCAGTCTTTTCGGACTGTGGGTACGACAGGCCTCCAAAGGAAGAAAAGGCAATGACCGCGATGCCATTCTCCTGCGCAAATTGGACCAGGTGATTCTGAGCTAGGTACGGGTGAAGCTCAATCTGCAAAGCGGCAGGCGGAATTCGCGCATAGCGTAGAAGATCCATTAACAAGGAGCCCGAGAAGTTAGACACTCCAATGCTTTTGGCAGAACCCTGATCCACCAGCCTTTCCATTGCCTGCCAGGTCTCCTGTATGCTGGCCGTACCGGGTTCCACACGATTGTCCTCATAGAACCATCCGGGAGGATAACGGACTGCTGGCGGGACATATTTCAAGGCAATAGGGAAATGCATCAAATATAGATCGAAATAGTCCACCTGCCAGTCCGCCAGTTGCTTTGAAACGATCTCTTCCACCCGATGTGCTTCATGATAGGTATTCCAAAGCTTTGAGATAATGAATAGATCCTCTCGTTTGACTAATCCATCTTTGATTGCGCGAGTGATGCCTTCGCCGGCTCCGGCTTCATTCCCGTAGTCTGTGTTCATCTGTCAGCGAAGCGCACGAGTACCAACATGGTAAGGAGTGCAATACCGCAAGCACCGTCGAAAAGCCTGTACCCAGCTTTAATGGCATTATAGACAGCGTCGGCGCAGGAGTCATTGGCGATTCTCCACAGGCCAAACCCAACCAAAGGCACCATCTGGCCACCACGGCCAATCGAAATTGTTTTCATTTTGATTGCACAAATGAAGTACGGCTTGCACAGACTATTGGAATCAATTTAGATTCGTGAAGGTGGACAAATCGTAATAAACCCTGCACAAAGCACAGGCGCTTCTATTATACGCGAGGGGCTGAGGTAGCCAGTGAAGATCACGCCTTTCCGAATCTGGTCCCCGCGCATGACCCACCAGCATAAAATTGGTACAAGCATAATATAAAGCTTGGTCCCTCCTCGAAACTTGGGGTTTGAGCTCATCACTACCCACTAATTTCGCTTGGACCTTCTGCGACTTATCATGATGTCATTTTGTGCCGGAGATAAGTCTGTAATGCCGATGCTCATCCTACCTCCGTCTCCACCTCATATTCTTCGTAGCCAATACCTGCATGGTAGATATAATGGTTAGGTAATTTCTGGCATGCAGTTCACGTTTATTACTGAGTTCAATTAAGTGATCAAGAGCTAGAAGCCCTTCGATGGTGTGATTCGTAACTAAACCTCATTGCAACTCCAGCTCATAGGAGGGATTGGGAATTGCTACTGGTTGAGAACTCACTAGGATCTCCAGTTGTAGATGAACTCAAAAGGCTTAATGAGTTCTACTCTAATGGAGCGAAAGGTCTACCAGGTTACTTTTTTCACGTATAGTGAATAAGAAGCACTTCCCAAGACTGAATTCGGTGCTCGATAACACCAACGGCGAGGTTCTTATGGGCGGCGCTATGGATGAGGATGATCTATTTATCGAACCACCTGTTGTCCAAGTTAAGACAGTACACTCGATGGTGCTCGCAGGTAAGCTTTGGTCCTTTTATCCCAATCCTTGCAGTCGACAATTCGGACGAGGCTATCAAGCTAGCTAATGGCCTTGTGAGCTCCCCTCTGAAACTTATTGTGTTGGCCATGAACGGTAATATATGCTCCCTCAATATATGAAATGAATTATTCATATGTTTTTGAATTTGCGAGTATGAAAGTCTCTTATTCATATTCCTTTCGGAGCCCTAGTGAGCGTTCTATTTCTAATATGCGCAAGAACATGTGGTTGCTCGGCATACTCCCACAATCCTGTTCCGGCCCATCACCAAGCATAACTTTGTGATGCTCCAAGCCCGTTGTGACCACGTCACTGGAATTGGATCTTCGTATTGCATGGATTGCTAAGTTCCTATAGAACAAGCTCAAAATATCACAGTCATCATCCAGGATCCAACGTGCTCTTTGCCGATCTAGCTGGACCAAAAGACAGCCCAGCAGAAAGACACCACCCTCACTACCACTGTAACATTCGTTTGCCCTGACCTTTCACAAACCAATTATGGATATCACCTACTAACAGAAGTACGGATTCTTATTTAGTCTACATCGGCGAGGTAATCACATACATACGCGCATAGCATACGTCAAGACTTAGCACTAGTGGCGATCAACATTGGTTTCCCCTACTGCGATGGCTCAACAATATCAATCAACGAGTAGTGTATCCACCATTGGCGAAAATCGTTTGGCCAGTAATCCAAGCACCATCCGTGCAGAGGAAGCGGATGATAGGAGCAATGTCCTCGATCATGGTAAGACGACCCCCCATGCCATTCGCTTTATGAAACTCAACGGCTTCCGGAGATTCCTGGGGATAGAAGAACGCTATTTATATACCTCACGTTAGATCTCTCGAATGACAAATACACTTAGGATAGCCTTACGTGTATCCATTGGTCCCGGAGCGACATTGTTCACACTGATCCTACGGGATTGAAGCTCCTTGCAAACTCCACTATGATATTTTTAGCTAGGTATTCAGTCGTTAGGGGACTGTAACATACCGAGTAAAATGCTCAACAGGAGCTTTGCTACCAGCGTAAGAAGTATAGTAGCCAGTAAACGCTCCTAGGAGCGCGGTGACAATGCTGATGATCTTCCCGCCATCGCTCACATGCGTAGCGGCTTCTTTGAGGACAAAGAATGCAGTTTTAGAGTTCACCCTAGGAAAACACTTAATCCATGCACACGTAGAGGTATCGTAACGTTCTTCCCCGATACTTACGCGAACATTGTGTCATACTCTTCCTCGCTTATCTCCGTAATGGGCTTCTTCAGTACTTTCCCCACAGTATTGATCACAATATCAACCTGGCTGAAGTCACAAATAACATCTTGGAACAGTTTCTTCACTGCAGCTGCAGTGGTCAAGTCGCCTTGGTAGAACGAAATCTTGATTGAAGGGTTCTTTTCCTTGAGTGCAGCTTCAAGCGCGGCTGTCTCCTTTTTATCACCAGAGGAGTGATAGTGAAGAGCAAGATTGGCGCCTACACCAGCCAGCTCAAGGGCGCTTTGAGCTCCAAGGTTCTTAACACCGCCCGTGATAAGGGCAACTTTGCCGGTAAGAGCCATTTGGTTATCGGAAATGGGTAGTAGCTAGAGGATGTCAACTAGGACTGTGGTAATTGAGGGCCGAAGTATGGCCTTTGGGTAAGAGTTGTTCATCGCTTAATATATATCCAAGAGACTGCAAACGTGATGTAATGGCGGTATGGATTTTGCCCCACATTTCGTAGTATGTGTTATCTTCAATGGGAAATATGTGGGGGGGATCGGTAATTACACCCCCCCTTCAGTAATTACACCCCCCCTGCCTGAATTTCCAGGCCACAATTTTTTTCTGCCGGCAATATTTCTGCCACCACCACAAACTTGAGGTACTTG